TTGTGGAGAGAAGTACAGTAATGAGAAGCACTGTAAGGACAGGACTGCTTTTCTAGAGCAACTATAAACATGTGACCCTCAGTGCAGCTGGATACATTCTTGCTTTAGCATGTGCCACAGGTTTATTTCTCGCCATATTAAGGTGTAGAACAAATTCTATCCACTGTGTGGTTGATGCTAGAAAGGGTCAATGCCTGCTCATTTTGCTCTGTGGCAGAGCATGTCAGTTTGCTTTGGAAATAGTTCCTGTGGAAAAGCAGAGATGAAGCTGGGAAGTCTTTCTGCACAAGCATATCCTGTTTGGGCTTTGTGGTACATCAGTTCCATAGCACTAATCTGAACTCTATACTGTGGTGGTGAATGACATGTGGGCTGAGCTGCAGTGTTAGCTCAGTGTTTCATACTTTCTTGGAGTAGTTATTGGTTCTGTTCTTTTCCTTTGCAACTTATAAACACCAGCTTTTTAAAGTTTCATCCACTAATTTTATAGTGGATGTAGTCCTTTTTATAGGAGACAAGGCAGGCTTTAACAGCTGTCTCAATTATTGTCACCCTAAGAGATTCCTTGCACATTGGGAAATAATTCCCTTTACATTCAAAGAAGGAATTTCACTATTTTTTTTCGTTAATTTGTTTCATTTACCACTTCAAAATGCAAGAAGAAATGTCAAAAACGAGCTCATATTTTATTACCTCTTCTCTTCCATCCCTTCCTTTGGAAGGCAATTCTTTGTAGAGAATTATTTTTTTCCTTTCCACTACAAAAACAGACAATGTATCCAAGCTTCTCATACCTCACTATCTTTAGGAAAAACTGGAAATAAAATTATAAAGTTATCATCCATTAATGTTTTAAATATCTTTGCTGTCTGACAGTACTCCTAACATATTCCTTTGACATCAATTTGTAAGATACAGTAGCCTAGGGAAGGTAATAGTTGTACTCAAAGGTTGTATATTTTCTTAGACTAATATTGCTAATAAAAATAGCCAAGCTTTTGTGCATATGAATTCCTTCTCAGAATGTTTTGATTTCCTACTTACTAGGAACTCATTATAAATGTAATTATATTAATGTAGCCAGTGAATTAATCTTGTTTTAATCACACTTTTAAGAATTCTGGTCTTGATGGCAGAACATAAAGCAGCCATCATGTTACTGTGCATTTGCTGACTCTCATTTGGCCTAATGCAATTTCCCCCTTAGCCTAGTAAAATGCCAAAGTTGATTAATGTTGATTTAGACTGTTCATAAACTTTTTATGCTGCACAGTTTGATTTTATCCGAGGTATGCCAACTAGCATCTCATGGGGGGCTTTTTAAGGGAAACAGTACCAGGAAGTGTCAAATAAGTGCTAATGATCTCTATGCACAATAAAGAACTTTTTTTCAAATAGCTTTCATCATTCTAGTGCCTTCTGTCTCTGGAGTATAAAATGAACTTTCATAAAATACTAACTCCTTTCTTCATGGACTGGAGCTAAAATTGTACTGAATGTTTACTTGAATTAAAAAAAAAAATTGCCTGTACCCTTATGCTTTTGGGAAAATTTTTGCAAGTGCTACCACTTCTGCCTTTATGTACTAATTGAATTACTTGAACTTCCTCATCAATTTTCTGGTGATTTTGCAGATATGAAACCTAGATAGGTAAAGTTATAGATAGAAAATACCATATGCTAAACTTAAACTATCATCCCTTTCAGGCATGTTTTCATTATCAAAGCTTCTATATTCCAGGTCTGTGAAAATCAACTGTAGTTGAAAACCCAAACACTTAAAGTCCTGCTGCCTTTGGATTTTGAGGAAAACCAGTGTTTTCTTTCTCCTGCCTACAGAGGTCACAACTCAAAATGCTTGCAGAGAAGGAAGGACCTTAGTAATGGGCTGGTTTCACATGGATGATGTTACTTAGAGAACTTCCCACCTGAGTGCTACTTTGGGAAAACCTTAACCAGTTCTACTCTAGCAGTGATGCTCCACCTCCCATATCATGTCTCATTTTTCTTCAAAGATCAATTTAACAGCATCTTACAATAATGTCCGTGAAGAAATAGTCATCTTCCACTTGCCCACTTCTCTTTACCTTACTGCTGTCTTCTAATTTCAGCCCACTGCATTTATCTGAGTTACTTGTGTATTGTATTTTGCCTATGACCCTCTGAGCTTTTTGTGGCAACAGGCTGTTGCCTGTGCTATTTTTTCTATCAATTTCTATGGCACTGGACTCTTCATATATGACTAAGCTTTCAAGACATGACTGTAATAACATTGATAATGATGATGATGATGATGACAATAATTCAAGATGTTATTATTACTTTTAATAATAAATTGGGATAGAGAATGACATAGCACAGTCCATGGGGAAAAAAATAGGGCAAACAATCATTTCAATCTTGTGTAAAATCAGGAGTTGGGACTTTGAAGATGTCACTACAATAGGAATGAATATATTCCTGAGATCTGGAACAGGATATTCTGTACCAACTCTGAAGGACAATCTTATGACTGATTGAAAAAAAACCAAACCATCACATGTGACTTAAGAATACTGTTTTTTCTTCTGAAGCAGCTTGAGTTTTGGAAATGTTCTTCTGAAGCAGCTTGAGTTTTGGAAATGTGGAAGGGGTCAGGGAAGAGGGATTAGAAGGCAGCAAAGGGAAGGCGATGCTGCATCCATACCTTACAGGAACATGTGACAGAGTTCTAAGCACCTACTGTGCTAATGTGAGCCTGTGCTTTATGTAGTAAATAATGTCTATATACTCATTATTTGAAACCCCTACAGTATCTGACAACTCAGAACAATTAAAAAGAAACCAAAATGCACAAGTTGTGGAAAATTTTTAACACCAGTGAGGGTATAAACACCAATGAATGGCCCAAAAGTGTCCAATAGAAATACACGGTATGTATGGTTTTGGTAGTATTCCTGATTCTAGGATTGTTTTAGCTGAACAATAGCTACTCTGTTGAAAACAAAATCCTTATTACTGTCAGACCTGTTAGAATATAAGTATTAACTTGCTGCCCGGTTATTTAGAAACATTGCTGGTACAGGTCAAGAATCAGATAGAAATGTGTAACTGAAGAACTCTACGCAGGAATTTTTAGCTTCTTTCAAAATTTCCTCTGATTTTCAACCCACTAACTGAACAACAATTGAAATTGAACTGTTAAATTCAGACAGAAAATATGGAGTGAGTTTAAGATCCTGTAAAGACTTTAGCCTGCACCTTGAATTCAGCATGTTATATGTCACACTTACTTCAGAGTATTTCAAACTGAGCATGTAAACAGAATTGCAGGAATGAGACATGATAAAGTTCTTAGCACTGATCATATTTACAAACTTATGAACTCTACGTCTGTGTATAATTACTTTGGACAAAACATCCCAAGCTCTATAAACCATGTTTTTAGGTATCCCATTCATAGAATCATAGAATAGTTTGGGCCAGTAGGAACCTTTAAGGGTCATTTAGTCCACTAGCTCTCTGAACAATATGTTCCAATGTTTTAATACCTTACAATAAAAAAAAAATTCTTCCTTCTATTTAGTCTACCCTCCTTCAGCTTAAAACCATTATCCCTTGTCCTATTGCAACAGGCCCTACTAAAACACCTGTCCCTATCTTTCTTATAGATCGTCTTTGGGTACTGAAAAGTCATGGTAAGGTCTTCCAGAGCCTTCTCTTCTTCAGGCTGAATAAGCCCAACTCTGTCAGCCTTGAATTGGAAAACAAACTAACTGATTTGAGATTTTCTTCAGTTTGCTACGTGCCAGGGACTCTCCCACATCGTATTTTAAAATACAACCTGGATACCAGCTCCTCGGTTCACCGAAGGAAGGCAAATCAATCTCTTGCTACCCAAATGGATTTAGGAAAAAGGTTGAACATGCTCCATACCCTCAGCAGCTACCATGATATTCATGCTGAGCCCTCAGTTCTCTAATCTAAAAGGCTTCTGTTAATGGTACTCCCTGAAGGGGAAAAGGGCTTGGAAGTGGGTATTTCTCAGCACAACTTAAGAGCTTCCCCCTTCTTCTGACCCTGTGAAGATAATGGTCATATGTACGGAGAGGAGGAAAAAGTGGGGGCTTTAGCTGAGAGACCAATATTTTTCTGCCTACTGAAGACAGATCATTGACAGTGAAATTGGGAGGGGCTATTTCATTGAGTATAGCTGACATAGGGGTATGGTCAATACTGTGTATACTATGGATAACCCTTTTTTCTGGGAAATGAGAATAACAAATGAAGAAAACTAACTTCTACCCATAAATATCTAGCATTCTTCAATTCACTTGTGGGCAAGTATTCAACTAATAGAAAATTACTTGGAGAAGAAAAAAAAATGCATACATAGTAAGCAAAATCTTCATGAAAGAAACCAAATGGCAACGCAGGTGACATTATACAATATAATTATCTTCCTCAGTTTAGACAGGAGAAAGCTGGGACAGATCCAAGACTGAATGAGAAAACTGGTCCGTGATGGTTTGATGGCACATAGCATATGACCTGGGAATCACAAATTCCTGCAGTGTAGTTTTGTCTTTCCTCAATGGGAATTTGAAGAGCTCCTTGCAAACTGCTCCCAGGAAGTGTCCTACAGAATGCATTTCTTGCTGATTATACATCTGACTTGATTGAGAGTCTGAGTGCTGGACATTTTAAACCAAGAATATGTTTTTAATGGAATACTTTAAAGTTCCTCTCATGTCAGCTACATAAAGATGTTTTCCAAGTTTCAACTTGTGACAAAAATAACATAAATAATTAGTTACACTGGATTTCTTCCTTACACAAAACATAACAAAGCAGATGCTAGCATTTCCTTTTCAGGAAAGGATTATGCTTAACATGCTTGAATCTAGCAACTCATTTACTCTTGTAGTTGCTATGAGTAAGGAAATGGGAGTAAGTATAATGAGACTGTTAGTGAAAGACGTTTTGTGGTGATATATAAAACCAGGTTACAATGTCACTGTTTCCTTGGGAACCCCTCATGTCTAGCAGAACTGGAAAGGAACAGATTGAAAAAAGGGTATCAGAAAACTTATATTAATAACTCTGCTGGTGTCAGTACATTTAAATGACTTAGAGAAGCCACCAAAAGAAAATATCACGTGCTTTTAATATACAATTGGAGAGAATTTTCATTTGCAGATTTTACAGTGAGGAACAATTTCAGCAGAAGATTGTAAAACAGTTGTGGGAATCTGCTTTTTCAGAGTGTGGTAGTGAGTTCAGAATGAGAACCGAGAGGAACAGGAAGGGCAGGTACCTGGAGATGTGAATGTGAAGGTCAGAATTTACAGATGAGGGAATTGCAAAAGAATGCTCCTTAAAAATCAGTTTTGTAAATGATCATACTACATGATAGTAATTTGTATTGTTGGTTGATTGTAGATTGTTGTTGACACCATTGCTCTGGAGTGGGTAGAGAAGTCTCTGTGCTCTGAGTATGTTTTCATCAATATGTCACCTGGGTCACGTAAATAACAGTAATAACACGAGACAATTCTGTGTAGGCTGACAGGAACACAAGCAAATGATGTTTGATTTTATTTGCAGAATATGTGAGGAATGATAGGTGGAACTGATTGGGAGAAAGGAAGGTAGAAGCACAGAAAGGTCAAGTTGAACCATTTATTCAGTTAGGATGCCATCTGCTCTGAATCTGCCCTCTGTTTTGAAAGCCAGTAGCTAAATAATATATAGGTATTACAGTTCCTGTCCCTGGATTTACTTGTTTATAGGTACTCACTTACTGGTATAGGATTGAGTGGAAGCAGAGCAAATACCAAGGAGAAAAGAAAGCTCTTGAAATTCTATGGTCATGCTGAGAGCAAGTATTTGTAATTTGTGGGTGAAAAATCACAGGCACAAAGAAATAATTACAGAAGTAGTCACTGTAAATCCAGAAAGTTCAGAGGTAAATGTCCATTGGAAAGAAATTCAGATGAATGAAACAATGCATCTAGGACTGTAGTGACGTTTTGCAATCAAAACTACAGCCTGAATACTGTTAGTGTTTACGGTTGAGGCATGGCATGAAATATTTTTGAACCAACTGTGTAACCTGACAGGGTGGAGAGATTGCTTTCAACTGGTCTGTTTTTTTAAATCATTCTTAGAAGTGATTGAGTGATTTCTCTTTTTCTCCACTTTCCCAGGATAAAATGTAGTTTCCCAAAAGGGTCAGTGCAGTTAATTCTTCCATTCAGCATTCATAGATTGATAAGGACTGTACTATCTTTGGTAATCTGATGACACATGGTGCTACATTTCCTTCTCTTTTTGACTTCAATGCCAAATTTATCTAGTGCCTGGAAGAAACAAGGAATTCAGTGAGAGCCAGCTGGCTGGAATCCAGTCTGAAAGGTGAAGGTGATGTGGACTGAAAGAGCAGAATGCTTTCAGCACTGAATGAAAAATCATACAGTTTATTTTACAAGGATATCTGCATATATATAATTTGCTCAATGTTTACACAATGGTTTGTGTATAGTAACAAAGGGTCTATTATACATAATTTTACATCAAGAAATGGGACAGGCTCCCTTCAGCTAAGGATGCCAATGACGTTTTTTAGACAATATTAAATTTCAATGAATATATGTGCATGATAATAGGTATGGATTACTGCTAAGGCTTGCTTTATCACAGTCAGTGTCTCATGTCCTTCTGGCAATCTGTTCCTCCAGAATTTGTTTCCCCAAAGAAATGATGTTTTCAGCTCAAAATTGCATGTGGATCAGCTAGTGCAGCTACATCCTAGAATTCATTCTCTGTGGAAATACAAATAATGAGGACCATGATAGTTTCAGGAAGAGGACTTCTTTCACCAGGCCTTTGCACCTGGTTATAAGTTGATGTCATGGTCCATTACAAATAGCATGGTCCATTACAAACAGCTGCAATAATGTATGATTTCAAACTGTTCAAACTAACCTTACAAAACTGCTTCTGTGAGTGCATATACCTAGATGTTAACCAACACTGATGTGAAATAGGAGTTATGTCTTGTGAGAGAGCAGCAAGAACTCTATTGTCACTTGTAGATTGAAACCCTACAGATTTGGATTGAATTGTTTCTTCGGCATTCTTGGATAGGGTATTTTCCATTTATTTTTGCTGGATGGCATTTTGGGTACTGTAGGATACTTTTTCCAGAAATAATTTCTTGCCACTTAAATGACTGCTCAGGTGGGGGATTTAGAGGTAGCAAAAGAGTTTTGAGAGGTTTCTTCCACCACTACCTGGTGTCCACGTGAGAGGAGGGCTTGCTTCTCCAGACTTCTCTCATGAGTGTCACAGTCTTGCTCTTCTGGGTAGGAGAAAATGTCCAGACAGACGCTGGGGCAGATTTGACACCCCAGCAGGGCGTTTGTGGGCGATGGAGGATAAGCTGTTCTGCTGGGCTGGACCTGCACGGCCGAACAGCGATGCCGCTCCCGGCCTGGGGGAGGGAGGCCAGCCCGGCGCCCATCCCGCCGCTCCCCTCGGCGCCGCTCTCCGGTTCTCAGCCCGAACTTCGGACCGCGCCGCCGGGCCTTCGAGCGAACGGGGATATGGGGGCTCTGCCGCCCTCCAGGGCCGCTTCCCCCTCGCCCTTCCCGATGCCTCCTCCTCGAGGGGGCCGGCGCTCCCGCCGCCAGCTCCTTCGCTCGGGGGCTGCTCTCGGGGCTGGGCCCCGCCGAGCAGGTGCCGCTCTGGGCACGCCCCGCGGGCAGCGCCGGCGGCGGGAGCGGCGGGAGCGGCGGGAGCGGCGGGAGCGGCGGGAGCGGCGGCCGCGCAGCATCTGCCCGCCCTCCCCCTCGCCCCCCCGCGGCCGCCGGGCTCGGTCCTCCCAGCGCGTCGCCGGCGCCTTGGCTCCTCCTTGTCCTTCCTCGCGTGATTTTTATCGCGTCCATTTTTCGTGCAGGGATAAATAAATAAATAAGGGCAGCTGCCGCCCGCCGCCCCCCGCCGCCAGCCCGCGCGGCGCCGCTAGGGGCGGCAGCCGGGCCCCGCATCGCCCCGCGCCGCTCGGCTCAGGCGGGGGAGGCGGCGGGGCGATGCGGAGCCCCCTCCCGTGACTCCGGCTCTCCGCCATGCCATGGGTTAGGCGGACTCCATCCCGCAGCCGAGAGGGCACCAGCCAAGCGAGGCGGCGGCAGGAAGCGGAGCGGCCCGGCCGAGGAGCGGCGGCGGGAGGCGGCGGCGGCGGGAGGCGGGCGCGGCGCCCCGCGGCCCCTTCCATGGACGGCGGCGAGGAATTATGAGCCGCGGCCGGCGGCCGGGACTGGCGCTCGCCCGCTGGGGCTTCCCCCCCTGCGCGCCCCGGGACGCCGGGGCTCCGCTCTCGCACGGCACCCGCCTCGCCCCCCCCGGCAGCCGCTGCCCCCGTCTCCTGACCCCCCGCCGCTGGCTCCGTCCCCCGTCTCCCCGCCGGGCGCTCGGGGTTGGGATAATCTTGCTCGCACCCAAACCACAGCTCTCCCGCGGCTAATCCTGCCTTCTCCTCTCTCCCTCCCTACCCCGCCCCCGGCCCTTCCTCTCCCGGCGCTGCCCTCTCCCCTCCCCACTCCCCCTGCTCGCCCCCCGGGGCCCCTCCGTCCCCGTCCCTCCGCTGCCGCCGGCGGCCGGGCGGGTGGGTGCGAGATCGGGGCTGACGAGCACCCCGCCCCTCCCCGGCGGGGCCGTCATTAGGCTGCCGGTTGATTACAGGGTATATTGATTTGTATGTGCTTCTCCCGGCGCCGGCCGCTCCCGCTGGTGCTGCCGGAGTTCGGGCAGCGCTTCCCGTAGCGGCGGCAGCTCCCACCAAACATGTCGGCTCCCGCCGGGCCCCGGAGCGGCCCCGCCGCTCCTCAGCCTCCTCCGGCCCCGCAGCCCGAGATGCCGGACCTCAGCCACCTCACGGAGGAAGAGCGGAAGATCATCCTGGCCGTCATGGACCGCCAGAAGAAGGAAGAGGAGAAGGAGCAATCCGTGCTCAAGTAAGGGCGGGCGCATCCCTTCCTCGTCCTCCCAGGCCCGCGGCCGCAGAAGTCTCTGCCCCGGCCCCGGGGGGCGGCACGGCCAGGGCGGGAGAAAGGAGCCGGGGGGGCAGGGGTGTTTGGTGCCGGGCGAGTGTGGGGCACGGCGCGGGGGGGACCGCGGGAGCGGCAGAGACGGGGCTGGGCTCTTCTCCCGCCTCGGCCGCGCTCCGCGGGGCGGCTCCAGCTCCGCGCGTCCCGGCGCCGGCGGGGCCAGGCGCCCAACATGGCCGCACAGGTGCCGTCCTCACCCGGCGTGTGCCACCGGGAGGACGGGGGTGGGTCGGGGCGGCTGTCGGCTCCGCCGGAGGGGGCGGACCGGCGGCACCGGGCCCCGTCTCGGGGGCGCGGCGGGCTCCGCTCTGGCGGCGGCGGCCCTGGCGGGCGGAGCGGGACCGCCGGGGCCTGGGCTCCGGCCGCTTCGCTGGGTGGGTTTGCCACCGCCGCCATCTTCCCCCGACAACGTGTCTGCCGCCCGCCCCCGCCCCGCTGCTCTTTCCAAGCGTGAGCCCCGGCTCCGGGGGAAGCGGGGCACGGCCGTGGGGGCGGCCCCGGCTCTGGCGCCGGCCCCGGGAGCTGTCCACGGCCACTCGGCTCAGCACCGGGAGCTGTCCGCTGTCTCCCGGCTGGGCTCAGCACCGGGAGCTGTCCGCGGTCTCCGGCTGGACACGGGGCTGTGTTGGCGGAGCGGCGGGGCCGGGGCCTCGCGGTCTCTCCCCGTGCGCGCTGCCCCAACCCCGGGCGGGCCGCCGGTCTCGGTGGAGCGCGGGGGTCCCACTGCCTTGCGCGGCGTGGGCCGTGTCCTTCCCTAGCCGGGCTGGGAGGCACCGAGTAAAGTCGACAAAACTATGCTCCCTCTGTGGCAGAACAACCACGCTGACTTCTAATGGCTTAAAAACAAGCAAAGCTACTGCTATCGTGGACGTGCCTTTGATGAGTGTGACAAAGCTGAAGCACTAAGCGGTTTTTTATACCGAAATTAGTGTTGTGCCTTGGACATGTTGACTGCAGCTGGCCTTTCACACTCAGCACCTGGAAGCTGTCCTCTGGGCTTTAGTTGTTGACTTTGAAGTCTGTTTCCAAGATTCACTGCATTATTGTTAGCATCATACCAAAAACTTCATATATCAGTTGTGTGACAGCTCCTAGATGTCGAGGTGATCTCCTAAAAACATTTCAAAGTCAGTTTAAGAAGGATTTTTTTTGAGGTGAACGTTTAGAAATTTGTCAGTGTAATGTGAGCGCTGGAAATAAAGGGCCACCTTGTTTTGTCACCACCTCTTAGCCTCTTGCTCTACAATTTGTTTGTTATTGTAATACTTTTATTTGGAAACAATTTAGACTTCTTTAAATTACTAAATTGTGTCATTTATCAAAATAAATTCAAATGTTTTTTCTAAAATTGCTGTACTCTTAAAAATCTTCAACAAAGAAGGAAGTGGAAGTTCAAGTTGCAAGTTGCAGGTCTTCCAGGAATTCAAGCTGCAGTTTAAATATATATTAATAGCATTACAGTTTTAAAGAAGATTTCTGGCAACTTTTGTTGTGGACAATAATATTTATGATCAAATATAAGGTATGATTTCAGTATGATACTTGAATCAGCTTGAACCTGGTAAGCTTGCAAATGAAGAATAAACTGTTCTCAAGTAATGGTAAGGTAAAACCAACTTAAGCAATGAAACAGAACTGTTTTCATTTGTAGTTTTCAGAATCTTGGAAGCAGACAATGGACAAAAGAAAGGTCTTCAGCAACTCTAAAGATAAACTTTACATGACATTCAGTTTCTCTTTATGTCTCATCAAAGTGTCCTCTTGGGTTCTGCGTAAGCTGTGAGGGAAATGGTATGGTGTAAAGTTTATACAAAAAGGATAACCTAAAGCAGCTCTCTTAGGAAAATGCTGTTGTCAATTGAATTTGAATAGATAGCCCAAGATATTTTAGAGGATACTGAGACGTGGTCTGGTGTCAGATGAAGAACTCACCAGTTTAATTTTTCTTAAAATGAAATGTCTCTTTGAACCATCAGGTACATGTTTATTCTGAAAATATCTACAGATTTATTAAGAACAACTTTCCGCCAAAGTAATATCAGAAATTGTTCTGTATCCTTAGGTAGATATTAATGAGTTTTATTCTCTTGAGAGATGTTTTCCTTCTGTCAAGAAAAGACAAAGAAGAAAGAACCCCCCCATATTTATATGAATGAACTGCTGTTATTGCATAGAGATAAATATAGAGCTAAATCCCGCAGTCTTTGTTCAAGTGTAATTCTCCTCGAAGGCAAGCTCCTTTTGAAGTGGAAGGTATTTTTGTCTGTCTAAGCAATAAAATTGTGTCATTTAATTCCATGGAGAAATGTAGGATAAAAAAAAAGATGCTGAAAACAAGAGTTGACATTTAGAGATATTAACACAAGAACTGTTCAAATGTTGAAGAAAGCAGCAAGCATGTATTTTCTCTAATTTATTTTTTTTTATTTGTAGTGATTGAGTGTCAGTATGAATGGCTACTCCCTGGGCTCTACTTCCTTTCTCAATGCTATTTCTATCTTGTGTTTTTCAAATTCTTATGCTGTGCCCATCACTGTGGTATTTGAGCATTTTCCAAAAGAGCATTAAGTAGTGTGACTCACATCTGTAATGTGGACTATTTATTCTTTTCCTTTCACTCCCTGGGGTAAATATGTGTGGATTTAAAATAGATACATAACTTCTCCTTATGCTTGTTTTACTGTTTTTGGGGAAAGGAAATGCAGATGGTATTGAGTTGTAATCTGTAGCAACTAATAGTGATCGGGTCAGCATGAATTCTTGCCAGGATTTGCTGGAACATGATGGCATGGAAAGCAGAAGGTTTCCAGAATTGCTCTCTCCTTTGGCCTGGTTTGGTCTGTGAAATACGCTGAGCTACAGTTGTGCACTGTGTTCCTGTAGTGGAGCTCCTGCTTTAAAAGGGATGAGTGGCTAACTCTGGTGCTTTCACTGTCTCTCTTCTGAAATTTTTGGGACCCTTGCAGTGCATTTTGAATGTCATGTACTAAGGAGGTGTCTTTTTGACAAGGGTTTTGGATGTATATTTTGCATAATATTTAATATGCATAATATGTGACAGAGAATTTATATCTGTACTCGGTGTAAGTATTTCTCTGCTGTTTTAAGAATATTTACGTATTTTCAACATTTATCTTTGTGGATTTTTTACTGTCTTGGATACAGCATGGAATTTTTAGTGATGACTCTTCCTTCACATTATGCACATCCTTCCTCTTATAAAATCTAGTTTTGTGTGTGTAAGCCTTGTAACAGATTTTAGACAGCACATTTAGACAGCATATGGATTCATTTATGGGATCTATCTTGTGCCTTTTTACTTTTCATTTATTCTTTATTTCTATATCAAAGAATAGTATTGAGAGGATGCACAGAGAAAAAAAATGTAGGAGATGTTAGGATGCTGCCATTATTTATAAAGATTTCTGTTTCAACCTGTGTCATGCGCATATACACTTTTCTACTTGCAGTACTTTTCTACTTCCAGCTCCTTTGCTAGCAATTCTAAAGATAAAACACTGTCCTTCTAAAGTCAGACTCCCAGCTCTGAAAAGACATGCATTTCAGCTTTTCATGGACATGGACAGTTTGGCCCAGTAGAAGATAAATTTTTCCAAGAGAAATTTCATTATGAAATCATCCAGCTTTTCATGTATTTGCAAAGCATCGCAGGTTTACCATGAGGTCTCTGTAAAACACCTCTTTTAAATATGTGTGTGGCATTGTCATCTGATTTACCCATGGGGAGAAGATGTGTGTGCAAACAGGGTGGGTGCACTAGGGAATGGTGGCTCTCCATTAGCCACCACTGTAAGTCCAGAACTGACTACAGGCCTGTA